AATAGCCAAAAATGGCTTCAAAACGGTGAGAAGTAAGTAAACCCGAGTTAGAAATAGCTAAAAACTCCTTAAAAAGGGTTATAAAGGGGCAAACTTGGGATAGAAATGGCCCAAAATAACTTAAAAAGGGTTACAAATGGAGGAGAATGGTATAGAAATGGCAAAAATTGTTTAGAAATGGCCAAAAAGGCTTCAAAACTGTTAGAAATGGGAGAAAAGGGGATAGAAATGGCAAAACATGTTTAGAAATACCCAACAATGGCTTAAAACTGGATGGAAATGGCCACAACTGGGCTAGCAATGGCCAGAAATTGCTTAGAAATACCCCAAAAAAAGGCCTCAAAGAGGTCAGAAGTAGGCAAAACTGTCTTAAAACGGGTTAAAAATGGGCAAAACTGAGTTACAATGGGCGAAAATAGCTCGGAAATAGCCAGGAATGGTTAAAAACACGTTAGAAAGGGGCAAAACAGGGTTGGAAATGGGCAAAAACTGTTTAGAAATAGCCAACAGTGGATCCAACCCGGTTAGGAGGAGGTAAAAATGGGTTACAAATAGCCAAAAACGGTTTAAAATGAGTTAAAAATGGGCAAAACAGGGTTAGAAATAGTCAAGAAAGGCTAAAGAATGGATAGAGGTATGCAAAAATGGGTTAAAAGTTGTAAAAAACGGCCTCAAATGTTTTAGAAATGTCAAATCTGGGGTGGAAATTGCCAAAAATAGTTTCTAAACAGTTAGAAAGGAAAGGAAATTGGATAAAAAGGGCAAAAATTCTTTAGAATTAGCCAAAAATGGCTTCAGACAGCTTAGAAAGAAGTAAAAATGGGTTACAAATATCCAAAAAATTGTAAAAACGGGTTAGAAATGGCCAAAAAAGGGTTTGAAATGGCCAGAAATTGTTTAGAAAAAGCCAAAAAAAAGGCCTCAAAGAGGTCAGAAGTACGCAAAAATGGTTTAGAAATAGGCAAAATTGGCTTAAAACGGGTTAGAAATGGGCAAAACTGGGTTAGCAATGGTCAAAAATAGATTGGAAATAGCCAGGAATGGTTAAAAACACGTTAGAAAGGGGCAAAACAGGGTTGGAAATGGGCAAAAACTGTTTAGAAATAGGCAACAGTGGATCCCACCCGGTTAGGAGGAGGTAAAAATGGGTTACAAATAGCCAAAAACGGTTTAAAACGAGTTAAAAATGGGCAAAACAGGGTTAGAAATAGTCAAGAAAGGCTTAAGAATGGATAGAGGTATGCAAAAATGGGTTAAAAGTTGTAAAAAACGGCCTCAAATGTTTTAGAAATGTCAAATCTGGGGTGGAAATTGCCAAAAATAGTTTCTAAACAGTTAGAAAGGAAAGGAAATTGGATAGAAAGGGCAAAAATTGTTTAGAATTAGCCAAAAATGGCTTCAGACAGCTTAGAAGGAAGTAAAAATGGGTTACAAATATGAAATTATTGAAATTATTAATAATAATAATTATTATTATTATAATTGAAATATTGAAAAATGGATTAGAAATGGGTAAAAAAGTGTTAAAAACGGCCAGAAATTGTTTAGAAATAGCCAAAAAAAGGCCTCAAACTGGTGAGAAGTAGGTAAAAATGGCTTAGAAATAGGCAAAATTGGCTTAAAATGGTTAGAAATGGGCAAAGCAGGGTTAGAAATGGACAATAATTCTTTCGAAATAGCCAAAAATGGCTTCAAAACGGTGAGAAGTAAGTAAACCCGAGTTAGAAATAGCTAAAAACTCCTTAAAAAGGGTTATAAAGGGGCAAACTTGGGATAGAAATGGCCCAAAATAACTTAAAAAGGGTTACAAATGGAGGAGAATGGTATAGAAATGGCAAAAATTGTTTAGAAATGGCCAAAAAGGCTTCAAAACTGTTAGAAATGGGAGAAAAGGGGATAGAAATGGCAAAACATGTTTAGAAATACCCAACAATGGCTTAAAACTGGATGGAAATGGCCACAACTGGGCTAGCAATGGCCAGAAATTGCTTAGAAATACCCCAAAAAAAGGCCTCAAAGAGGTCAGAAGTAGGCAAAACTGTCTTAAAACGGGTTAAAAATGGGCAAAACTGAGTTACAATGGGCGAAAATAGCTCGGAAATAGCCAGGAATGGTTAAAAACACGTTAGAAAGGGGCAAAACAGGGTTGGAAATGGGCAAAAACTGTTTAGAAATAGCCAACAGTGGATCCAACCCGGTTAGGAGGAGGTAAAAATGGGTTACAAATAGCCAAAAACGGTTTAAAACGAGTTAATATATATCCCATATCCAATATATTCTATATTCCATAAATCCTGTATCCCATATATTCTATATCCCATACCCCACATCCCATATCCTGTATCCCATATATCCCATATCCCATATACTATATATCCTATATCCCGTATCCTATATACTCTATATCCTGTACCCCATATAACCCATATCTCATATATCCCATACCCCACATCCCATATATCCCATATCCCAATCCCATATATCCCATATCCCACACCCTACATCCCATATAACCCATATACCGTATATCCTGTATCCCATATAACCCATATTTCATATATCCCATTTCTATATATCCTATATCCCATATATTCTATATCTTATACACCCCATACATCCCCCCCCACAGCTTGTACAGGCCATGGCGGCTGCGTCCGGCTCTGCTGAGGCCACGGCACCGGAAACGGACCCGAAGACCCCCCCGGACCCCCCCAAAGGACCCGAAGGACCCCCCCGGACACCCCCCCCCCACCTCCCCCCCGATATCGCGATCCCATTAAAGTCGGCGACATCGCCACCAAGGCCTCAGCCCTGTCATGGCGGCCAGAGAATGGCGATGCCGCGCAGGGCATGATGGGAGGAAGGTCCGCTGCCGCCTGTGCGCAATGCATGCTGGGAGGAAGGGTCCCCATTGCGTCTTCCCCTATGGGCGCAAAGCACGCCGGGAGGAAGGTCAAGCGGGCCATTGTGGTTAATAGCGGACGCGGGCCGCTGTGGCGCAAGGCACGCCGGGAGGAGTGGCCGGAAGTGGGGAAGGGGGGGGAATTCATGGGGCCGTCGGAGGAACCGAGGGGTGCGTTAGGCCCGGGGGTGTGTTTTGGGGTCCTGAAGGGGTTTTGGAGGGTTCAAAGGGGTTTTGGGGTCCTAAAGGGGTTTAAGGGGTTCCTAAAGCGGTTTTTGTGGGTCCTGAAGGGTTTGGGGGGGGTCCTGAAGGGGGCTTGTGAGGGTCCTGAAGGGGTTTAGGGGGGTTCAGAGGGGTTTGGTGGGGCCCTAAAGGGGTTTGGGGGGGTCCTGAAGGGGTTTGGGACGGTCCTAAAGGGGTTTAGGGGGTCCTGAGGGGTTTGGGGGGGTCCGGAAGGGGTTTAGGGGGGGTCCGAAGGGGTTTGTGGGGTCCTGAAGGGGTTTGGGGGGGGTCCTGAGGGGATTTGGGGGATTCTGAAGGGGTTTGTGGGGGTTCAAAGGGGTTTGGCGGGGTCCTAAAGGGATTTGGGGGGGGTTCTAAAGGGGTTTGGGGGGTCCAAAGGGGTTTGGGGGGGTCCTGAAGGGGTTTTAGGGGGTTTCAAAGGGGTTTGGTGGGGTCCTAAAGGGTTTGGGGGGGTTCGAAGGGGTTTGGGGGGGATCCTGAGGGGTTTGGGGTGGTCCTGAGGGGATTTGGGGGATTCTGAAGGGGTTTGGGGGGTTCAAAGGCGTTTGGGGGGGTCCTGAGGGGTTTGGGGGGGTTCTAAAGGGGTTTGGGGGGGTCCCATGCATTGGGGGTGGGCATTGCGCATTAATGTGGGTCATTTATAAGCCATTTTTTTTGGGGGGGGAGCCCCACTTCCCTTCACCCCCCCCGTTTTAACCCCCCTTTTCCCCTCCCCAGGCTGCAGCATCTCCCCCCCCACCACGGCGCCCCCTGGCGGCGGGGAGGACCCGGGTGGGGGGGGTCCTGAAGGGGGGGTTCCTGAAGAGGGGGGTTCAAGGGGGGGTCCCCCCCTGTACCACGAGCGGCAGCGGCTGCAGCTGTGCGGGCTGCACGCACTCAACAACCTCCTGCAGTGGCGCTGCTTCACCCGGAGGGAGGCCGAGGATGTCTGCAAACGGTGGGGGGCCTTTGGGGGGGATTTTGGGGTTTTTGGGGGTGTTTTGGGGGGGTTTGGGGTTTTGGGGAGAGTTTTGGGGTTTTGGGGACGGTTTCAGCGTTTTGGGGGGTTTGGAGGGATGTTTTTGGGGGTTTTGGGGGGTTTGGGGTTTTGGGGACGGTTTCAGCGTTTTGCAAGGGTTTGGGGGGGGTTGGAGGGAGTTTTGGGGTTTTTGGGATGGTTTCAACGCTTTGGGAGGGCTTTGGTGGGGTTTTGGGGCATTTTTGGTGGGGTTTTGGGGGTTTTTGGGTCTTGGGGGGGTTTGGGGTCTTTGGTGTGTTTTGAGGTTTTTGGGGTTTTATGGGGTGGTTGTGTTTTTAGGGGGGTTGGGGGTTTTGGGGGTTATTTGGTGTTTTGGGGGTGCTTTGGGGTTTTGGGGGAGGTTTTGGAGATTTTGGGGGGAGGTTTGGGGGTTTTGGGTGGGTTTTGTTTCTTTTGGGGGGGGCTGGGGTTTTTTGGGGGGTCGGGATTTTGGGGGAAGTTTTGGGTTTTTGGGGGGATTTGGGGTCTCTGGGGGTTTTGAGTTTTTTGGGGGCAGTTTTAGGGGGTTGGGATTTTTGGGGGTTCAGGGTTTTTTGGGGAGTTTTCAGCATTTTTTGGGGTGGTTTCTGCATTTTTTGGGGTGGTTTCTGCATTTTTTGGGGCGATTTCTGTGTTTTTGACTGTTCTGTTGGGGTTGGGCTCAGGCTGGCCCCCGGCGCGTGGCTGAACCCGCACCGCAGCCTCCTGGGGAACTACGACGTGAACGTGCTGATGGCGGCGCTGCAGGGGCAGGGGCTGGCCCTCATCTGGTGGGATAAGAGGAGGTGAGAGAGGGCGAAAGCAGCACAAAGCAGCCCAAAGTGACCCAAAACCGACCCAAAATGACCCAAAACTGACCCAAAATGACCCAAAACCGACCCAAAATGACCCCAAATGAGCCCCAAATCACCCTGACACCAGCCCCAAAAACAACCAAAAATGACCCAAAACCAACCCAAAATGACCCTAAATGAGCCCCAAATCACCCCAAAACCAACCCAAAATGACCCAAAACCGACCCAAAATGACCCAAAACCAGCCCCAAATCACCCCAAAACCAGCACCAAAACCAACCCAAAATGACCCAAAACCGACCCAAAATGACCCAAAACCAGCCCCAAAACCAACCCAAAATGACCCAAAACCGACCCAAAATGACCCAAAACCAGCCCCAAATCACCCCAAAACCAGCACCAAAACCAACCCAAAATGACCCAAAACCGACCCCAAATCACCCCAAAACCAGCACCAAAACCAACCCAAAATGACCCAAAACCGACCCAAAATGACCCAAAACCAGCCCCAAATCATCCCAAAACCAGCACCAAAACCCACCCAAAATACCCCAAAACCGACCCAAAATACCCCAAACCCAAAATGACCCAAAACCAGCCCCAAATCACCCCGAAACCAGCTCCAAAACCAACCAAAAAGGACCCAAAACCAGCCCCAAAACCCAGCAAAGATGACCCAAAACCAGCCCCAAATCACCCCAAAACCAGCCCAAAAAAGCCCCAAAACCAACCCAAAATTACCCAAAACCAGCCTCAAAACCAACGCAAAATGACCCCAAACCAGCCCCAAAACCAACCAAAAATGACCCAAAACAAGCCCAAAATCACCCCAAACCAGCCCAGAATCATCCTGAAGCCAGCCCAAAAATCACCCTGAAACCAACCCGAAACCACTCCAAAACCAGCTCAAACCCACCCCTAAACCACCCTGAAACCAGCCCCAAATCACCCCAAAACCAGCCCAAAACCAGCCCCAAATGACCCAAAACCAGCCCCAAATCACGCCAAAACCACCCTAAAAACCACCCCAAAACACCCTCAAACCACCCCAACACCAGCCCCAAAACCAACCCAAAATGACCCAAAACCAGCCCCAAAACACCCCGAAACCAGCCCCAAACCCAAGTCTAAAATCACCCCAAAATGAGCCCAAAATCACCCCAAACCAGCCCAGAATCGTCCCGAAACCAGCCCAAAAATCACCCTGAAACCAACCTTAAACCAACCCAAAATCACCCCAAAACCAGCCCAAAATGACCCAAAACCACCCCAAAAACCACCCCAAAACACCCTCAAACCACCCCAACCCCCCTCCCATCCCCATCCCTTCCAATGCCCCAAACCCCTTTGAATCCCCCCCAAAATCCCCGCAGGCCCCTGGAGCTCCTGGTGCTCCCCAACATCTTCGGCTTCATCCTCAACGTCCCCGCGGGGCCTCTCCTGGGCCTGATCCCGATCCCGATCCCGATCCCGGTCCCGATCCCGCTCCGGCGCCAGCACTGGCTCTCCCTGCGCTGCTTCCAAGGGGTTTATTACAACCTGGACTCCAAGCTCCCGCAGCCTGCGCCCATTGGGGGTGAGGAGGAGCTCAGGTAGGGCTGGGGGTGATGCTCTTGGGTACCACTTTGAGGGTGCTCCTGTGTCCTGCATCCGCATCCTGCATTGGCATCCATGTCCTGCATCCGCATCCCACATCCTGCATCCCGCATCCTCATCCCACATCTGCATCCCGCATCCTCATTCCACATCCCACATCCCCATCCCACATCCTCATCCTGCATCCTGCATCTGCATCCTGTATCCCGCATCCTCATCCCACATCTGCATCCCCCATCCTGCATCCCGCATCCTCATTCCACATCCCACATCCTCATCCTGCATCCTCATCCCACATCTGCATCCCGCATCCCTCATCCGCATCCTTCATTCACATCCCGCACCTCGCATCCTGTATCCTCATCCCACATCCTGCATCCTTATCCTACATCCCAATACCCATCCCACATCCCCATCCCACATCCTCATCCTGCATCCCGCATCCACATCCCGCATCCTGCATCCCACATCCTACATCCTCATCCCACATCTGCATCCCGCATCCCTCATCCGCATCCTTCATTCACATCCCGCACCTCGCATCCTGGTATCCTCATCCCACATCCTGCATCCTTATCCTACATCCCAATCCCGCATCCTGGATCCCCATCCCACATTCTCATCCTGCATTTACATCCGCATCCTGCATCCTCATCCCGCATCTGCATCCTGCATCTCACAGCCCGCATCCTGCATCCATGGCCCCATCCCACATCCCGCATCCCCATCCCATATCCTGCATCCACATCACACATCCTACATCGTACATCCCACATCCTCATCCCATATCCTGCATCCCCCATCCTGCATCCCCATCCCACGTCCTACATCTCCATCCTGTATCCCACATCCTACATCTCCATCCCGCATCCCCATCCCGCATCCCACATCCTCATCCCCATCCCGCATCCCACATCCCGCATCCCCATCCCACATCCTAGATCTCCATCCCACATCCCGCATCCCTCATCCCATATCCCGCATCCCACATCCTACATCTCCATCCCATATCCTGCATCCCACACCCTGATCCCCCATCCCCCATCCCCCCTCTCACCTCCTGCTCCCCCTCCAGGGCTTTCCTGCGGGATTTCCTCTCCCGAGGCCTCTCCGAGCTCTTCCTCGTGGTTCCCGGGGACGTGGAGGAGGCCGGGGCCTGGCTCAGGCCCCAGGAAGGGGATTGA